TCAGCCCAGACGACAAAAGTAGAAGAAACTTAATGCATTATGTTTCATAAGAAGTAAGTAAGTAATCCAATTAGTTACTTTTTAGTGGAGTAACACAATATTGTAATGCATTACTTTTGAAAGTAAGTTTCCCCAACACTGTTGACTTTCATGTACAACAAATACCATAACAAGTACCATACTGTATTTTCTTGTTGAAAACAAGGTAGGATTGGAATGTGAGCAAAGGCACCTTTTGTCCAGCAGTGTTTCCAGACTTGATGATGACGGTGGTCTCTGGAGCGCGGCTCAGCAGTGCAACAACAGACTGGCGGATTTTGGCCACTTCATACACGTAAAATGTTATCGGGTGAAAAACCAGGTGAGCAAACAATGTGAAGACAACGACTGCATGAGGCCCACCGGCTATTTCATCAATATCGTTGTTGATATAGTGCAGATCAGTAATAGGCATTTTACTAAATCGCAAAGGAACACCGTGTGGCCTCCAGTGAATAATGATGTTATATTTCAACTCCACAGCCATCAGTGGGCCACCTGCAGGAGGAGTGTGGAGGTCCATTCTCTTTATGCCTGATAAAGATACATGAAAATAATATTATAATCGTAGCTTTAGCAAGTCATACAGCTTTGAAAAAACAAGTGTGTTTTTCATTTTTGGGTGAACTATCCCTGCTAGTGATGGTGAAAGGAAGCTTTGCGAAGCTCCAAGGCTTTCCCCTAAACTGTATTGTAAAATGATTAATTACTCAAAGCTTTTCAAGACGTTGCACACTAATGACATCTTGTGGTGAAAGGTGGGAAAAGGTGCCTTGGCGTCCCAGACGTTCCAGCCACTTTTGAACCGTTTCATGTAATAAATCAGTTTGTGCTATGAAAATCATATAAACAGTGTTGGGGGAGCTACTCTGAAATTGTAGCTTGACCAGCTACAAGCTACTCGTAAATTAAAGTAGTTAAGCTACATCCAAGCTACCCTTCTGAAAAATTAGCTAGCTACACTACAAGTTACTATCAAAAAGTAACTAGCTACATTGAAACTACTTACATTTTTTTATTATTATTATTTTATTTATTTATTTATTTTTACATTTAATATTACAAATAACTGAATAATTGTTAATGAAGAATTCCGATAAAGTTCTAAGTAAAATATAATGAAATTGTAAGTAAGATATTTGGGGTTTAAACCAACATATTGTAATGCAATCATGATTTCAAAGAGTAGGGTGAATTCAGGTTGATTGGGACACTTTTTCCAAGTCATTTCAATGACAAAATGCCCCAATCCTTTGATTTTGTAAGCTATCCGATACACACAATAATAAAATATAGTTATATAGTTACATTATCTCAAACTGACTGTCAAAGTGCAAAACTGCTACAAACGTAACATCAATGCAAGAACAAAATGAATGTAACTTAAACTAGATATGGAGGAGTCGTAAAATAAGCAGGTTAAACTCACAGCACATGCAGTATTTACTGACTGTGAATGGAGCCTCTGAGACATCAATCATCAGATGCGAGCGTGAACACTGCACTTTGAGTGGAATCCCACCACAACCATCCTTTGCCAAATGATAAGCACACTACTGTATCGCAATTTTTTCTGTTTGATTAGTTTTCAATACAAAACTGTGGGGGGACAGATTGTAGCCTATTATGACGGTTCATCTTTGTAAAATAGACATTTGATAGTGTGCAATAAAGCAGGTAAATTAATCAGTTTTAAAAGGCTATTATTCACCTCCTGTATAGACCAATTATCGGTTTGTAAACATTCAGGATGCGCGCGCATCATGGTTGCAGAAAACCCGGGAGAGATAGCCTTTACATGCTTTAAGTCTTCGATGTATACCGCATTTTAATCTTCGTTTTGCATAAATTACAGTTGATTCATGTGAAATATCCACTCCTGTACATCCTTTGCAAAATCATCAGACGATCTCTTGTAGGTGGAAAAGACTGTAAAGCCGCGAGATGCATAATATCAGAGCAGATGGCGGTAATGAACAAATTTAGTTTGTGATCTAGTCAGAAGAAGACGCTGCGCTGCTTCAATGCATTACAGGTTTGTGACTCGTCAGAATGCAAAACAAAATGTAGCTTTTGGTCGCGCTACACCGCTACTTGCTAGAAAAAGTAGTTTGCTACTGGAAAAGCTACACTGTTTTAAAAGTAGCGGAGCTACCATCACGCTACTGAAAAATGTAGTTGCCTTAGTAGCGTCGCTACTTGTAGCTAGCTACTCCCCAACACTGCATTTACAGCAATAAAAAACAAAAATGTCATTGTACTTACACAAAGTATGAATAAATGAGTTTGTGAATAAATTAATAAAAAACTAAGCATGGCTCATGTAGGCATGTTCAAAATAAATGGTCAGTTGCTGTGCTTCTGAAGTGGGGATTGAAACAAACTGAACATGCACTAAACTATACATGAAATTTTAGTTCGTATTATGATTTATTCTTTTCACAGAAGTGAATGACACTTCAAACCTGTACAATGGATTTGCGTTATTTAAATTAGAATATGAAGCAGTCACGTGGTTGTGTGCGAAAAAGAAGCTTCAGACGTCAAATCATGTGGTTATGGCAAAACGAATCAAGCTCTGGCTCAGTGCTTCACTGTGAGATCTTTAGTTTTTTTGGTACAAGCTTCAAAACCTCTGTGCCGAACGTCATATCACTAGTAAGCTGGTGAAAAATGTGTGAGACTAAGCGTAGTAAATTAACCATCATCCTTCCCTCACATTTTGTAACAAATCTTTTCCTGGCAGGTCAAAATGACCCGAAGGCCTATTTTGTTTTTCTTAATATTTATGTAGGGTTTTATATGATTTTTTTGTTGTTGTTGTTGTTATTTGTATTTTATTTTTATATGCCCGTGTGTGTGTATTTTTATTTACCTTGTTTTCCTTAATGCGTGTTATGATGTGTGTGTCTGTGTGTGTGTGTGTGTGTATATGTGTACTGGTTTATATATCCTGGTGGGGACTTAAACCTGACTACACACAGACTCATGGGGACTCGTGTCACGGTGGGGACCTAAATTGTGGTCCCCACGGGTACAAAAGCTTATAAATCATACAGAATGAAGTTTTTTGAAAATCTAAAAATGCAGATGTGTGTGTGTGTGTGTGTGTGTGTGTGTGTGTGCGTGCGTATGCGGAGGTATGTAAGTGTTTTTGTTTTGTTTTTTGCCTTGAGAATATTCTGTAGTCTCATCCCTTTTGTTTGGACATAATTTTTGTTTCTGGATTGTGTCAGATTTTGTATAAAAAATTTAAAAAATCAAATATAAATGTTTTTTGACATTCGATTAATTCTTATGCCGGGTCAAATTGACCCGAGAGGGAAGGATTTGTTACTTTTTTACACCCACATAAAGTTCTCAAATCCACTCTTGTTTTTTTTTTTGTTTTTTTGTGATCCATGTTCAAGTGTGACAAAATTGAAATAAAAAAAATGGAATTTAATGTTTTTTTGACATTCCATTCATTCCTATGGTCGGAATGATAACCTGCGAGGGAAGGATTTTTTTTTTCTTTTGTGTGTGTGTTCCAAATTCAAGTGGACCAAAAGTCTTGTACCACTCAGATTAACACTCAATTTAAAAAAAAAAAAAAAAAAAGGTGGGCAACTTTATATTCTGAAATGTAAAAATCTATAAGAAAGAAACTGCATGTTTGAACATATTATTATTATAAAAACAAATTAATATAAATCATCTACTTGTAATTGCACCCGTATGAAGTCAATTCAAGTGGACCAAAAGTCTTGTACCACTCAGATTAACACTCAATTTAAAAAAAATAAAAAAATAATTAAAAATGTGGGTCAAAATAACCCGAGGGAAGGATGAAGGTTAATGTTTATAATTTTGTGTGTACATTTCCTGATAAGTTTGAATAGTAAGTGAAGCAAGTATCTGTTGTATTAACCGTGTTATGCATTGATTTATAAGTTTGCACATGTGTTAACATGAGTTCATGTGATAACACGAATGTTGTTTATTGAGAATACAGCAGATATATTGTTCTAATCATTTTGTGCTGAGGATAATATTTGTATGTTAAAAATTTAATGTTTAATACAAATGCTGAATCTCGAGAGAGTTCAAGAGTGAGAGTAATGCGTGTTAAACATCAGTACTGCTACTAAAAATATGAATTCATATTTTTCAGAATAAAGTCCACCCTAAATGTGCAACCACCCTCTGTGAATTCATTATTGCACACTGGGAAGTGTTACAATTGCATTAGATACAAAATATTAAAGTAACGTCTGCGAACAAGATCTGCATGAGCTTTTTTCAGAACCAACTTCACCTTTATATGTCATTTTCATAACAACATTTTGCAAATTTGCCTGAAAAGTGCACCAGTTTTTGGTATTTTCATCTAATGCCCATATATTGATACATCTTTGGATAAAAGGATTGATTTACTCCAGAATTAAAATTTCCTGAAAATTTACTCACCTCCCCCATGTTGTTCAATATGTTCATGTCTATCTTCCTTCAGTCGAAAAAATAAATTAAGGTTTGAGGAAAACATTCCAGGATTTTTCTCCATATAGTGGACTTCAATGGGGATCAATAGGTTGAAGGTTCAAATTGCAGTTTTAATGCAGCTTCAGCTGAGGAATAAGGGTCTTATCTAGCAAAACAATTGGTCATTTTCTCACGCATTACGTAGTCACGTTGGAAAGGTCACACGTGACGTAGGCGGAAGTACCGACCCAGTGTTTACAAAGTGAACGTGCAAAGAAAGTCAAACACCCTTTACAAAAAAAGGTAAAACAACGATGTCGGACGATTTTGACGTTGAAAGAGAAAATGAGATGGGTAAATTATCAGAAAATTTTAATTCAGAAGTGAACTAATACTTTAAGTGGCCATATCCTTTGCGGGGCCTCTATGTCAGTACCTTGTTTAATAATATACATGCTATCAATTCTTAAATTGAATATTGAAAACTGAGTCACACTTGCCTGGCACGTTTCTTTCTAAGTACTCAAACCACTGCCTTGTGGTGGAGTCTCCCATCAAATAGACAATCTTGTTTTTAAGACAGTTTCCCATTTGTGCAGGACTGAACTGTCGAGTGTTGCATACAAAAGACTTCCAGACATCGTTCAAATAAAATCCTGCAGGAACCGGTGTCGTCATGCCAGACCTGCATTTCTCCATTGTGCCTAAAGCAAAGAAACATTCAAAAAGAAAATACTGTTGTAGCTATATGAATTCTTTTGAAACTACATTTGATTTCAGATTATATCTGTCCTCTGATATGTGGTCCATGTATGTTTTGACCATTTCCTTTTTGGTAAAAAAAAAATAAAGAAACCCATACAGAAATGTAACATGACATATTGCCCTACTGTATACCGAGAATGATACTGCCATATATGTAATTTTTACATATATAAATTATCTAGGTAGATGAAGATATAAATGTACTAAACTGTATAACATATATAAAATACCCATAGTATAATTTGTATACATGTGTTAACAATATATGATGATTTTTTATATGATATTATATGCAGCAACCATGTCAACAATATGTATTTTGTTTACATATGCAACATACATACAAAAATCTGTATGTTAATGTGTGTGTATGTTTATGCCGATATGCTTCGAGCGACCCGAGTTTGAGTCCCGACTTGAGGATGTATAACATATTTGTATGGCATAGATATACAGTGGGTACGGAAAGTATTCAGACCCCCTTAAATTTTTCACTCTTTGTTATATTGCAGCCATTTGCTAAAATCATTTAAGTTAATTTTTTTTCCTCATTAATGTACACACAGCACCCCATATTGACAGTCGTACCATGCAGTGGAAAAGTGCCATATGATTTAATACTGTGGCTAAACACCGCCACCGCAGAAGATGTGTATGTCCACAAAGTCTGCTTCTACATCGTGGCCTGTTTAGCCCCGCCCACTGATTCACGTGTAAATAACGAGAGAGGCGAACGCAGGTCTATGCAGAAACCAAACGGTAAAGATCTATTGGTGCTTTTCCACTGCATGGATACGGCACGGAGCGGTTCGGTACGGCTCACTTTTGGGGGGTTTTCCACTGGGTACATTTTTTTTGAACAAACGCAAATGTTTTGAATGAGCGCACCTTTTTTAACAACCAAAGAAAGGCTGTTTCGCGGTTTGTTGAGGAAATACAGCGTTCCTCTCATTGATAGCCGAGGAGCGGATCCAGCGAGAGCTTGATGGGGCGATGTGTATAATCCCGCCCACTCTAAAGCGGTACTAAACTACATCAAGTGGAGTACAGTGGACATCAAACCGAGCCGAATCGTACCACGTAGTGGAAAAGATTTTTAGAGCTGCTTTACGGCAGAATTTCAATTTAACTCACATTTTTGAAGTTTGCTTCGGCTGATTCTGTTATTTTTGTTATTTTCCTGTTTATTACTGTGAAGCTGCTTTGAAACGATCTGTTTTGTATAAAGTGCTGTATAAATAAAGATGCCTGGACTTGTGCAGACATAGGGGGGATTGTCATTCTGGAAGAGAAAAGAACTGTCCTCAAATCGCTGCAACAAAGTTGGAAGCACCCGAGCATCATAGGAATGGACTTTGCATCTTGTTAATTGTAAAGGAATTGATCTAGTTTTGTTTAGAGTTGTTGATTTTTCTGAAACCAAATCCCCTTTAGTGCTTTTGCCAAATGTTCAGAAGGTGTCAATGGATAAGTGGAGAGTATACTGGTAACATAATTATTTCTGTGGTATATTTAAAGACTGGTTATAAATTGTGTGGCATCTGATGTTGATATAGAGAGCTGACTCTATTATTATGGGATGAGGCAGATGCAGGAACATTAAAGTGAAAGTGAAAGTGACGTGACGTGACATGTGGCCAAGTATGGTAACCCATACTCGGAATTAGTGGTCTGCATTTATCCCATCCAAAGTGCACACGCACAGCAGTGCACACACACACACACCGTGAACACACACCCGGAGCAGTGGGCAGCCATTTATGCTTCGGCGCCCGGGGAGCAGTTGGGGGTTCAGTGCCTTGCTCAAGGGCACCTCAGTCGTGGTATTGAAGGTGGGAGAGAGTGCTGTACATTCACTCCCCCCACCTACCCTGCCGGTACGAGACTCGAACCCGCAACCTTGGGTTACGAGTCCGACTCTCTAACCATTAGGCCACGACTCACCCCTATACATATATATTGGCAAGTTGTGGAAAAACACAGCCTGCGCATTGCCTTCCTTCTGATCCCAATGTTAGGAAAGAGTGGATGAACTTTCAATGAAGATATTGGATTCGACAGTAATGTCGCAACACACAAGTGAGAGTACCTTTTTTTATTATATGGTCTTATTATGTGGTCACTATTGCTTTGTCTGTTATTACAGATCATTTGATATGTACTGAGCGTTTATGCGTCCATCTGTGAAGGACGTAAACTGTCAAACATACACAACTGTTAGCCAATTATAGCAGTGGGCATTTACTTCCGTGTCTACATTCTGCCACCCATATTCAAACAGAGTGTTCTGATGAGGGGGGTCAAAACAAGCACAGAAAATAGCCTATTACTTTTAAATGATGTTTTTTAATGTAAAAAATGTACAACATTATAAGTGGACCTCAGAGAATAGTACAAAAATAATAACAAAAGGCAGTTCATGACCCCTTTAAATACTTCATTTGCTGAAACGCCACTTGTATGTGCGACAAATTCAATGTGTGAACAATGACACATATTAATGCCATAAACCAATTTGCAAACAATAAACAAAAAGAAGAACTCAAGCCTAATTGTGGTTTGCCATTGAAAAAAAAGAGCCATTATTTCTTTTCTTTTTTATCAAACAGGAAATGAGATGGTCAAAATGTTCAGAGACCATTAAACATACCAATGGATGCAGTGTTGGGAAGGACATTTATGATTTTTTTGTCTCCACTAATAGCAACATTTGTTAAATTCCTGTGGAGAAAAAAACAGACACACATTTTGTACACTTTTCTTTGTTTGTTTTACAATTCTACAATTATTTTGGAATTTATTTTGAGTCATTACTTTGTAAAAAGCTGCTGCTCAAAAAGATGTAATGGGCTTTCCAAACGTCCGTATGAGTGATGAACCAGTTTGTCACAGGAAAGTTCCTTAGGTCTCTCACACTGCCACACCGTCCCTGTTTTTATATCCTTATACTCACAGCAGCAGTCGCCTTTCCTCCAGCTTCCATCTGCACCCCACTTAAGATTACATTCTACTACTTCATGGATCTTAGTTTTATTGAGTCCTGGCCCTTCAAAGTAGCCATTATAGTGGCTGCGTGGGAATGAAGACTCCCTGTATTTTTTAAGAATCTGCACAACCTCACTGGAGTGCTCAAGACGAACAGAAACTTGTGCCTGACCTTCCCAGTGCAGAAGAAGAGCAACAGAGTAAGTCCCATTACGATGATCCACAACCTCCCCGTACACACTCGCCTTCAAGAAGAACGGAAAAGAACAAGTGTAATGCAGAAAACTAATGTCTGTTGGCAAATACATTTTTAAAGCTTTTAAACGTAAACATAATATGTAATATTGTGCTAATAAATCAACAATTAATGCAAGTGAAACACTATATTTATTTTTTATACAAAAAAATGTATTTAAAAAAATATATATTATCATATAACACACCTTTAGGTCTGCATTGAAAAGTTTTGCTTTGAAAAAATCTCCTCCATGTCTTTTCAGGTTCTTGTTGTGGTCTCTGGCTGTGATAATAACAGAGATCTTTTCTCTCACTTTGTAACTCTCTTTGAGTCCCACAATAGAGAAAGTTGAGTGGCCTGGACTTGTGCTCTGATTCAGATGAGTGATTTCTTGATCTGGAATAGGCCAGTCAATAGCCTTCTGTAGTCTTCCCCACTCCTCGTCACTGATTCCCATGTCAAACGCGGATATTATGGATGAACTGTTATTTTGAGGAACTGGTTTAGGTCTGGCGGGCTGAATTTGTTTGATGTGGATCCCACCATTCAATGCCCACAGAGCCTGAGAAAGGACCAGGATATCATTCACACCAAATTACATTTATTTTTATGTGCAAATGTTTAAAGGAGACATATCATGCCACTTTTTACAATATGTAATATAAGTCTCTGGTGTCCCCAGAATGTGTCTTTAAAGTTAAGCACAAAATACTCCACAGATCATTTATTATATCATTTTGAAAATGCCTATTTTGAGTGGAAGCAGAAACAAGCTGTTTTTTTTCGGGTCTGTCTCTTTAAATGCAAATGAGCTGCTGCTCCCCGCTCCCTTTCCCAGAATAGAGCTGTGTCATTACAGCTTGGACCTGCTAAAAACATCTGTTTTGGTTCTGATTATCATGTTTATCGCGCTGAAATCACTTTAGGTCTGCATTGAAAAGTTTTGCTTTGAAAAAATCTCCTCCATATCTTTTCAGGTTCTTGCTTGTTGTGGTGGCTGTGATAATAACAGAGATCTTTTCTCTCACTTTGTAACTCTCTTTGAGTCCCACAATAGAGAAAGTTGAGTGGCCTGGACTTGTGCTCTGATTCAGATGAGTGATTTCTTGATCTGGAATAGGCCAGCCAATAGCCTTCTGTAGTCTTCCCCACTCCTCGTCACTGATTCCCATGTCAAACGCGGATATTATGGATGAACTGTTATTTTGAGGAACTGGTTTAGGTCTGGCGGGCTGAATTTGTTTGATGTGGATCCCACCATTCAATGCCCACAGAGCCTGAGAAAGGACCAGGATATCATTCACACCAAATTACATTTATTTTTATGTGCAAATGTTTAAAGGAGACATATCATGCCACTTTTTACAATATGTAATATAAGTCTCTGGTGTCCCCAGAATGTGTCTTTAAAGTTAAGCACAAAATACTCCACAGATCATTTATTATATCATTTTGAAAATGCCTATTTTGAGTGGAAGCAGAAACAAGCTGTTTTTTTTCGGGTCTGTCTCTTTAAATGCAAATGAGCTGCTGCTCCCCGCTCCCTTTCCCAGAATAGAGCTGTGTCATTACAGCTTGGACCTGCTAAAAACATCTGTTTTGGTTCTGATTATCATGTTTATCGCGCTGAAATCACGTGTTTTAAATCATATGAGTTTAAACTTCCGATATATGGTTTTCTGAGCGCACACATCCGAAGCACACGGACAGAAAGCGGCTGTCACAGCATGTGCGTACTAAACTAAGTTCTCATTCACACACAAGTTTACGTTGAAAACACACATGAATTACAAAAACAGTTGGTTATGTCTGTAAAGGTAAACAGCTAGGAAATAAATTGTATGTTTATTTTAGATCTGTGTATCAGCAGCAATATACAGTAAATCAGACGCGCTCGTTTTCTCAGATGCTTGCAGAAAAATGCTTCCCAAAACAAAGTTACGGGGTTAATCTTTTTCACGTTTCCTTGGTTGGAAGATGCACTGGGGACCTGATTATAGCACTTAAAACCTGGAAAAGTCCGATTTTCATGATATGTCACCTTTAATGTTCATTGTAGGTACACATACTATCTGGATAATACTAGAAAAGTTATAGATCTGTAGGCGTTTGTCGGAATCATGCACAAACTGTGAATGGGCTGGGTTAAAAAGCATCAAGTAAAAAGTTTCCTTTACACAACAAATCAAAAACAAACAGCAAGTTGCTGCTTGTCAAACGTGCCATCCACTTCCCAACTACTAATTATGAGAGTACTTAAAGCTGAAGTTTGTAACTTTTTCAGTGTTAAAATACATTCTATCCCAGCTTACAGGTGCAGTAAATGATTTCAGCATTGTGCTTTTCCATTCTTCGTGTTTTCTTTGGCTGCATTCATCCCTCTAACATGCTTGTAGAGCTCCTGGGATTCAGCCTTATTTCCTTCATGCATGGCTACTAGGCTATGTATTCCCCATGCATGAAGAAAATAAGGTTGAATCCTGCAGGAGCTCTAAAAGAATGTTAGAGTCGACTGATGAATGCAGCCAAAGAAAACATGAAGAATGGAAAAGCACAATGCTGAAATCACATACTGCACCTGTAAGCTGGGATAGAATGTATTTTAACACTGAAAAAGTTAAGGCTGTGACTAAAGTCAGTTATAATTCTTGTGTTTCTCTTTTCTTCAGTGATTCAGATAATTATCTCATTAACTTTAACACTGCTTCAGTGTTACTTTAAAGGGGTCCTATTATGCGTTTTCACTTTTTCAACTTTAGTTAGTCTGTAATGTTGCAGTTTGAGCATAAAAAAATATCTGCAAAGTTACAAAGCTCAAAGTCCACTTCAAAAGGAGATATTTTATTTAACATAAATCACTTTTCAAAAACTACAACGAACGACTCGTTTGGACTACAACGCATATTTTCCAGGATTTGTGATATCACAAATATCGACGAATGGGACGAGACCTGGTTGAGCTGCACTAGAGAAGGCAATGAGTGTTATCACTATGTCGGAGACACGCTAGTTTTCTCAAGGCAGACGAACTTAAAGTGTTTACAATCATCCGGGTTTAAATCGCGCTTACATTTATTTGATTTTGACGCTATATTTACACTGAAGCTCGCAGGCGGCTATGGTAAGGGGTGTGACATTTCCCGACCAGGCGCCGAGTGGTGCCAATCACAACACACACTGGCCCAGCTAACCAATCACAACACACACTGGCCCACCCAACCAATCACAACACACACTGGCCCAAAACCTAGTATGAGAGCCTGTTCTAGTACACCCCCAAAACAAAATCAAGACTTTGTAAAAGAGCATAATAGGACTCCTTTAACACACTTTTAGAGTGGGACCATATATGCTCCAAGCAGTGTTAATTTAACACTCAGGATTTTACTGTGAAGGAAAACACTGAACCATTAAACGGATTGCGTTCATATTCCGGCCTCATCTGTTTGCCTATGTAAACTATGCATCATTAATATAGAGAATATTACCGTTTTAAATATATTAAGGCACTTTAAGTGTTTTTACAGCGTTTTGTCGCACTGTTTAATGATTGCAATATTGCAGCGGGTGATTAATATGGATTGCAAATGGCCAAAACTTGCATTTGTTCACATACATTTGTTTTATTCTTTTGAGAGGTGATCTAAATATTTGCGGCTGTGAAACAGATGGAAAATTGACAGGGTTGTCCTGCAGTTCTGTGGATGTTTTGCCCTCCAGGTCTTCGAGCCGGTCACGTGACTGAAAGCTATTGTTGTAGCAGTTTCGCCAGAGCGGTTCCAGCTTACTGTCAGTTTCGTTCTCTGCCTGCCTTTTATGAGTGGTAAATGTGCGTGCATGAATATAAGTTCATTTATCTTTATTTATCTGTCATATTGTGATAATGTTGCCGCTGCATGTCTAATTGTTGTCATAGTTCAGTTTATGTGGAGAAGTGATGATTTGCGTGCATATGTTTAACGCCATTTCTCGTGTTGTTTAATATTAACGCATAAAAAGATGTATACTAAGGTAAATGTGTATGTTTACTGTTTACAGACGGATTCTGATATATCTTATTTGTTTATTTCAGACTAAACCACATTTTACCACCTCAGCTGTTCTTAATGAATGTACAGTGCTTGATAATGTAAAGTTACGAAGCCTGTGTGCTAAACAGAAATAATCTCGTGATTTTCTAATATTTAGCCTACAAATAAAGACCAAACTGTGCAATGTAATTAAGAGCTTAGAAAAACAAACAAACAAAACATATCAAATGTTTCAAAAAGTGCAGGCGTAGGCCTATATCAAACATACAGCTTCATTGATTCCTGCTAAAACCTATTTTACTTTAAAACCACAATTACAGGAGTTACACAAATTTGTACACATTTGTACACATGCTGCATTTGTTTGCTAATGATGCTTAAATTCAGATTTATAAATTAAATTGGAATTTAAAAATACATTTCTCAATTCAAATTGTGTTGAATGCCACACAGTTTTGTTAACTTGTAAGGCAGAAATGAAGATCTTATTAATTTTATCGTTTTTTAGGCAGAAATAAAATGCTTATTTATTTGATCATTATTTTAACATCTGCTTTAAAATGTCTCACAAACTTACCAAACAGAACAATGTCCAAAGAAAACAAGCCTGTAGTACTGCATATGGTCTTAACCTGCAGACTGATAATACATGGAAATGATCAACTTCGAAATCCTTCAAAACGTGAAACGATTTTGACCCGTAATATGACAAATGTAATAATGTCCATGAACTCATGATTACCTGGTGCACTTGATTTCTTCTTAGATGGCGTGACCATGTCTGTTGTTCTCCTATTTTACGGCAGCTTGTGAGTGAAGAACATGTCTGTACAGCTCTGAAAACGAGGCGTTCCCACATGATATGCAGTTGAACAAACACGGCTGTCCTCAGTAATAGCACTTTAGCTTGACTTTGTTTTATTTCTATTTTAGATGAATGTAGATTAGTTTAGATATTCTTGCTCACAGAGCTAAAATTCTGCAGTTGTCGGTTAAAAAAAAAAAAAAAAGCATGAACAATAACAGGAGTGTCAACATATTTACTCTTTTATTGCAAGAGAAATATAGCACAGAGAACCATGACAAAAACGTGTGGCGGAATATGGCTCCAGAGAAGGGCTAGTACTGTGAACTTATACACAAGCTGTCATTGGCATGTACCTTTTCAAAATACATACCTTTGTTCCTTATTTACCCCTAAAGAGTGCATTTTAGTTTCTTGAATCTGCATATTAGTACCTAAAGTGTAAATATTAATACCTAAATGGTACATATTGTAGCTTATGGTACACTGTGTTCAGTGATACATTAATTAAAGTGAATGAGGGTATATACCACTGTTTAAGCCTAAATTCAATATTCAAGTATTTAATCAAATAAAATGTCCATTCATTTAGATTACATAGCTTTAACATAACCAAACGAATCAACGTAATGTAATGCATATTTAAAAACTGGACATTTTGAACATTCAGCGAACATTCAGAAATAATGTTTTTATAACATATATTATTGTTGGCCGGGTGGTCCCAACACAAAATAATTTAGAAAACTACCATTTTGCATATTTAAGTTCTAATTGAATTAAGTAGTTACAAAATGTTAAGGAGTTGTGTGTCACACAACTGTGTTGCAAGATATACACAAACGCGACGATGAAGGTAAAGTCAATTTAACAAATCCACAGTTGAATATTCCAATCTTATGATTAGCATGATTCATTTTTTTTAAGGAAACGAACGAAAACAAACTAAAAGCACAAACTAATATGACAATAGTGTTGCATTAGCTGATTTAAACAGGTAAACTAAAGAAGCATTAGTCACCAGAAATCTTCAGAATAGCCTGTTGACTGAGATGTTTATCATGTCTGTGAAGATTGACATTCTTTAAATACATACCTGTAAAGAAAATGTCCTTTTTAGAGCCCCCAAAAAAACGGTTGCTGTCCTGAAGCGATGTGTTCAATGTGTTGTTCGACCGGTTCTGACTTATCAAGAACTTCACATGAAATTTAGCTTTTTTTACTTTTAGAAACCAAAGTTGTAGAAACCAAACCTGTCTGTCATGTTTTGTGCCTTTGCAGTTCATGATAATATTAATGAACATCATTATTTCACAATCTTGTTTCGCTTACTTTTGTTTAATAAACAATGTGTTGGGTCATGTAGGGTATCAGAGCGAATCAGACAATTTAAGATTTGATCAGATTGGTGTTGAACAACCCAAAGAGCCGAATTCCACAGAGAGGCCCAAGGCAACAGGATGTTCGTAAATCAGATCCTGGCGCCACGAGTCTGAAGTGAGCCTTACAACCTAGTAGCTTCAAACAGCTTTCAACACACTCCATACACCATACTGACAAAGCAAAAACAGAATTGTCACAACTTCATACATTTATTAAAAATAAAAAACTGAAATAAGTATTCATACCCTTAACTAAATATTTAGCTGAAGCACCTTAACAGCCTCAAGTCTTTTTTTGTTTGATTCTTCTTTGCTCATCATCATTTTGCAATGATCTGCCATTCTTCAACTCACCTGTTCACCTCTCAAGCTCTGTCAGGTTGGATGGGGGCAGATGCACATTTTCAAGTTTCTCCAGAAATATTTGATTGGGTTCAATCCCAGGCTCTGGCTGGGCCACTCAAGGACATTCACACAGTTGTCTATAAGCCACTCTTGCTGTGTGCTTAGGGTCATTGTCCTGTTGAAAGGTGAACCTTCTGCCCAGTCTGAGGTTCTGAATGCTCTGGACTGGGTTTTCATTAAGGCTAACTCAATATTTTGGTGCATTGAGCTTATCTTCTACTCTGACGAGTCCCTCGGTCCCTGCCACTGAAAAACAGCCCCACAGCATGAGACTGCTACCAGCACACTTTACTTTTGGGATGGTACTCTGCAGGTGATGAGCATTGTCTGC